ACAAACAAGTTTGTCCGCGCATAATATCGCTGGCCTGATTTTATTAATTCTTTTCATACCTATCTTCTGTAAAATGTCGCGATCGAAGTATAATCCTTACATTTCAGGATCGTGCGATTGCACTTAAAATCGGATCTTGTATGTACGAGTACATACATTCCAAGATAAAGAGCTCGGATCAGATTTTAGAGGCACCCTATATATATATATCTATCATTTATATAATATATATATATTATATATATATATATTTATATATATATATATATATTATCCATTATTCATTAAATATATATATTGTTACGGTCCTCGCGACGTCTCTTGGCGCTGTCTCACAAAAAGATGTCACTCACACTCCTCACTCGCGTCCGAATGAATAAATTCTGTAATGAGGAAGGAGTTTTAATGAAACGACCCAATACAATAAAGCAAAGAAATACAATATATAATAGGCCAAAATGCCCATCGGTCTCGTAAGCGTTCCGCTCGGTGCGACAGCTGACCAAATCAATCATGACGCCCCAAAACATTTGAACGCCGGTTGTCTATAAACAACCCTCCTAGGAGATGAAAAGGGATGAAGGTGCTCAGGGGATGTAAACCAGGACGTAACAATATATATATATATATATATATATATATATCTGAAAACTTTTTTATTTTAAAGCAGTTTCCAAGATAAGAGCCCGGATCAAATTTTAGAGGCACCCTATATATACATTATTAGTATTCATATATTCCGTTTCAAAAACATAAGTTGTAGGGCTTCGAGGGTGACATAAGATTATACGATTATGTGATTTGACCTTGAATAGTCATTTGAAGATTACGTATAGTCACCTTCAATTTCTTAAATAAAACTACATATTTTTATTGCATATTTTGTGAACTATCTCAAGAGCTTTCTAAAACCTTATAATAAAGTATTTTTCATAGAGTACTTTTTGAGTTATAAAGGTTTGAAGCTAACAATTTTTTGACATAAAATGTAAAATATCTTGTAAAATATTCAGTTTTCGGTAATGATACCTTAATACTTTTCTACACACATATAATGAGATTAATCAATTGGTATAAAAAAACAGATAATTGTTAAAAAAAAAAATGTAATACTCAATATGCAGCTGTATACTTTTTTATAAGCAACTATGGGTTTTTTTAAATCAATTGATTTGTCTCATTATTCCGCAAAACAGTATTAAGGTATGATTACCAAAAACTAAATATTTTACAAGATATTTATATTTTATGTCAGAAGATTATTAACTTCAAACCTTTATAAATCAAAAAGTACTTAATAAAAAAATGTTTTGTTATAGTGTTTTGGAAAGCTCTTGAAATAACCTATAAGAATATATGAAAATAGGTAGTTTTATTTAAAAAATTAAAGATGACCTTCACGTGACTTTCAAATGACTATTCAAGGTCAAATCAATGCATCGATCTTATGTCCTCCTCAAAATCCCACAACTTTTGTTTGAAACATTTTTTTGTGTTTAAGGCCATTTCCAAGATAAAAGCCGGGTCGACTTTAAAGACACCCTGTATATATGTATGTATGTACATGTGTATGTACATGTGTATGTACATGTGTATATATGTATATGTATATGTATATATATATATCTATATATATATATATATATATATATATATACATATATATGTAGTATATGTGTATGTTTTAATTCCTTATATATATAAATTTAGACTCAGCTGCCCTTTATCGCGAGTCACGTACCCATTGCCGTTTCGCTTACGACGGTGGTGCACTTCGTTCAAGTAATTCAATCGGGTAAATTTCGTCAATATGACTACGGTGCTACAAAAATCTCTTGATATATAAATCGATGGAACCTCCAGAGTACAATCTATCGAGTATCACGCTACCAATGGCGATATACTATGGCAACAATGACTTGATGCTAGATCCTATTGTAAGTAATGAAAAGAGTATTTATTTATTGATAAAAAAATTGTAGAAATTATAAGATTTTATAGTAAAGATTGTGACTTGACTTTGTATACATATATGTAGATTAAATTTCGTATTTTTATAATCGAAATATATAGCTCTTAAATAAAATTATTGTGTATGATAATTCAAAAATGTTTCTTCAAGGATGTGAAGAGGGTTTACAATTTACTTCCCAACGTAATAGATATGTACGAAGTGCCGTGGCCCAATTTTAATCACGTGGATTTTGTATTTGCTAATAATGCGCCAAAACTTTTGTACGAAAGAGTTTTGAAGGTCATAAAAGGAAAATATCAAAGCAATGTAACAACGATATGAAAATAGATACATTTTAATGATGTAGATGTTAAATAAATAAATAAATTAATGATAAATAAATAAATAAATGATAAATTAATTAATAAATAATTTAAATTCAGTGTTTTTAAGTATTCAAAAATATCGGTCCCTATATAGTTCTCCACTCCTTTGTATTATATTATTATAATTTTAGCAATATATAGATTTTTGATACATGTATATATAGTGAATTATATACATATTATGTCTTTATATAATATATGAAAAATCTACTCGCAGGCACGCATGCACGCTCGCACGCACGTATGCACGCACGCATACATAGTCTTTCAACGTCAACGCAATGTCTTTCAACATTCGTATAAAACATTTTTTTTAAACTAGTAGCGTGGTTTTGGTCAAATTAAGGGATTTCAGTATTTGTTGTACATCTTGTGTATACAAGTTATGTATATATAGGGTGTTTCAAAACTGGCGGAAAAGTTTTTAATGTTAGATTTCTGGTCATTTGGAGACGATTTTTCGTTAGAGAAAATGTTAAAAAAGACCATCATTTATAGCATGTTGCTAATTTTCGCTATTATATATTTTTATAACTAAGCTTCATATTAAAATCTATTAAAGTAAACTCTACTTAAAATTAACTGAAAGATGTAGTTCTGTTAGCATTTTATTTCCACAAGGCTTAGTTTCCAAAAAGCCTTCATTTTCAACTGCTTACAATTCGAAAATTATTGATGTCTCAACATTTTCGCTGAGGAAAAATCGTTTTCGACTGATACCAGAAATCTGCCATTAAAAACTTTTCCGCCAATTCAAAACACCCTGTATATGTAGAAATGTATACGCAAACGTAAGAAGCAATTTTGCAATTCATTACATATCATTAAATTGATATATGTCTATTTATAAATCTAATGAGTAATTATATATATATATATATATATATATATATATATATATAATAATAGCTCTATTATCTTCAAAACGATTAAATGTGTTACCCTTTTTATAGCACCTTGTTCCTCTCATTATATTGTCAATAAAATTATTGAAGTAAGGTCATCAGAAAATGATGTTTTACTAAATATTTCAGAGTCCCTAATGAAAAATGTCATATATATTTGAGAAGTTTGCGTTTCGAGTCGATATGTATCGCTTGTATTGTTGACCCTTTTCCGCATACGTGATTGGTGGTCGATGATGTCGTGAGAGAGAGAACTGTGAAAGTAATCACTGAAAGTTTGGTGACAGTTAAGTGGGGTTAATTGATGACAGATGTCAAAGAATTAATCGTAGCCTAAAAGTTCTGCGGTCGATGAAAAAAAAGTTCTGCAGTGTGTTGGAATATACAGACGTGAGAATTACGCAAGTATTTTGTATTTTGATTTTTATTTAATTATGATGATTTTTTATGCATTAATAATATTTTTCCTGAAAATGAAGAAGAGTTACGACACAAAATCACTAGAGCTGTTAAAGGCATTACAGCAGAAATGCTGCAGTCAACAATGAGGAATATTATAAAACGCGTTGAATATTGTATTGAACATTATGGTCAAAATTTCGAGCAATTTATGTGTTAATAAATGTTCTATAAACAAACATTGTATGTTTTCTTCTCCGAACTCTCTTTGACATTTCAAACCGTTCAAAAATACTTACAAGGAAAGGGTCGGAAGTGTCCCCCTCCGATTTTAATGAGCTTTGAATATGTTGTAGTCTAGATCAAAATAGAAGACACGTATTTTTTTATAAGTGCTAATTTGGCCGTTAGGGGGTGAAACACCTTCTTGAAAAAAATCGATTTTTTCATTTCTCAGCAAATACCGTCGAAGCGATAAGAGATATAAAGAAAAGTTTCAAATAAAAGTTTTATGGTTTTTAATGTACTTCAAAATCATGTAATCAGATTTGTCGAAAATGTCATATTTTTCGAAATCTCCCCCCCTCCCTTTCAATGTTTGAAAATTTTTAAATTTGTCTTATAACAAAACTTATAGCTCATTTAACGACAAATTCAATCATATATAATAAAGTTGTATTCCGAAGTCGCATTTTTCAGAAATAAATTAAAAATATCCCTATACACTACTATACGCCCGCTTTATCCGCCTCATGACGCTCGTTATTCACAGCGACAGTTATTTTTCTTCGCAAACTCACAGAGGCAACCATAAATTAGCATTAAATAATTTATGAGAATATATTTTATAAATTATAGAAATTATATTTATAAATATAATTTATAATTATATAATATATATAATTATAATATATATATATGTGACAATAAATATACATATAATTTATATGGAAAAGAAATGTTTTAATGCATGAAAAATAAAACTAGTCGGACAAGGAAAATTATTGATCAGATGTCGAGGTTAATAGATCCAATTCTATGAATAAACTTGAATTTTAAGAAAAATAGTCGTTTTTTATAATAAAGTAAACAAATTTTAAATGATAAAGAACGTTTTTATGCAAATATACATTTTTTTAATATAAGTATGCTGTCTCTAAGCTGGGCAATAGAGCCAAGGAAACGAAACGAAAAATTAATTAAACGGAACTGTATCTCATTTGAGATCCCAAAGTTCACATATAAATTAATTTCGAAACTTACATATGGAGAAATAAGCGAGAAAAATATAGGTCCGAAAAGTCGCTGAAGCGGGAATCGAACCCGCGTCTTTCACTTTCCGGGCGACTGCTCTTACCAACTAAGCTATTCAGACCCTTTCGATCCTATATTTTTCATTTGCCTTTTTAGTAGATGTTAGTAAATACCGCCGTGATTAGCCCAAGGCGTGAATAAACTCAGAAATAAATATTTTTATCGGCTCTCAATATAAATAATATAAGTATGCTGTCTTCTAAGCTGGGCAATAGAGCCAAGGAAACGAAACGAAAAATTAATTAAACGGAACTGTATCTCAATTTGAGATCCCAAAGTTCCACATATAAATTAATTTCGAACTTACATATGGAGAAATAAGCGAGAAAAATATAGGTCCGAAAAGTCGCTGAAGCGGGAATCGAACCCGCGTCTTTCACTTTCCGGGCGACTGCTCTTACCAACTAAGCTATTCAGACCCTTTCGATCCTATATTTTTCATTTGCCTTTTTAGTAGATGTTAGTAAATACCGCCGTGATTAGCCCAAGGCGTGAATAAACTCAGAAATAAATATTTTTATCGGCTCTCAATATAAATAATATAAGTATGCTGTCTTCTAAGCTGGGCAATAGAGCCAAGGAAACGAAACGAAAAATTAATTAAACGGAACTGTATCTCAATTTGAGATCCCAAAGTTCTACATATAAATTATTTCGAAACTTACATATGGAGAAATAAGCGAGAAAATATAGGTCCGAAAAGTCGCTGAAGCGGGAATCGAACCCGCGTCTTTCACTTTCCGGCGACTGCTCTTACCAAGACCTACCGCAGGACCTACCGCACTAAAACCCCAGAGGATGTCCTACCCGGGGCGTTTGATGGGGGGTGCCGAGGATGCTGGTAACCCATGCCGTCTCGGAAACCACCCCCCCGCCGATAACTCTCCGGGGAGCCGCCTCAACCTTGTGGCTGAGACACCTCCCCGACCGCACAGTCAATGACTGTGCGGTATCGACACGGTTGCGGCACGAGGCGACATCGACCTCATGCCGCGCCCTCCCAAAAAGTTTGAGGGGCGGAGCCATGGCTCGAGAACTCCCGCTCGAGCCATCGCCCCTCGCCCCCCCAGTGTCGCAACCCCCAGACCCCAAGAGGGTGGTCTGGTTCGGCGGTCCACTGAAGGGGCCCTCATCAGGAGGCCTCTCTCAGAAGGAGAGAGACCCCCTTCCGTGGACGGTGTTGCCCTCCTACCGGTGCCCAGCGCTCCCGGTGAGAGGGCCCCACACGTCACGTCTCGTCTGTGAGAGGGGGCCAGGCACCCATGCGGGAGGACAAGTCCGCCCGCAGGGGATACGTGGCCTCCTTCTCCAGGTCCCCCCGACTGCGGCCTCCCTCTTTCCCCTAGGGGTCAGAGTTCGCCCGCAGCCAGGGGGGCCCCACCCTCTCGGAGAGTGTGGGGGGGGAGGAGGGTACGCCTAGGCGCACCCATATCCCCCCCGACACCCTCACCCGGCATCTGACAATGCCGGGGTTTTTGGGTCCCTCTCCCCCAATCCCCACCGCCGCTAGCGGACGCAGCCTTGGCCACGACCGCCGACGGCGGGGAAGGAGGAAGACGACCCCCACCCCTAGGCCCCGCAGGGGGTGCCGCAAGACACCCCCCTCCCCAAGCCTGTGCCGGCACCTGGCCGGCCGGAGGAAGTCCACACAGAGCGGACACCTCGGGCCGGCCAGGCACCCTGCCGCCTTGTGGCCAGGGGAGCCGCAGTTGTAACAGCGGCTGCCTCCTGTCCACCCGCGAGGTGCACCGGCGCCATGTGTGGCCAACACACAGGCACCGGTAGCACCTCGCCGCCCCCATAGCGTTGACGTCGGTCGCCTCACCGACGCCAACTCCCCCCCTTCTCTTCTTCCTCCCCTCTACCCCGCCACTGGAGGTGCCCTCTCCTTCACTGGAGGTGGCGGTGGTGGTCCTTCTCCTTTTGACCCTTCCCCCTCCCCTTCCCTTCTCCTTCCCTATATCCCCTTCCCCATCCCCATCCCCAACCTTTTCTACCTCTCCCCAACACCTTCACCCACTCCCCAGTGGCGGTACCCCCCTCCTTCCCTCTCGGGGTCCCCTGGACCCCCTCCCCTCCGACGAGTTCTCCGAGGCGTCTCTCCACAAGCCCCAGCCGGTCGGAGCTGTCCGCCAGCATTGAGGATATCTCCCCCAATCTGGCTTCCAGCTCCGCCGGCATAGGGGCCGCGACACTCGACGCCCCGGTCACCCCCGTCTGTGTCCCCGCGTTTCGGGATTTGTTTCCCGGGACACGGGGTCACCTCCGTCTGGCTCCCCTGATCCCGGACTTCTTTTCCAAGATCAGGGGTCGCCTGAACCCCCCCGTCCCGGACCCTTTTTCCGGGTGCAGGGGTCTCCTCCGTTTGCATCCCCTGGTCCCGGAGCTCTTTCCCGGAATCAAGAGATACTTCCATCCCCAGGAATCTCGCCAGTTCTACCTCCTCTCCGAGTCTGGCACATTCCTGGTACGTCATTTCGGCAATCCTCAGCACGTACTTACGTGCCATTTCCCGCACGTAGTCCGTAAACGCTCTCGCGCTCTTCTTGATTGCCGCCAAGCTTGGCTCTCTCCTCCGCCTCCATTTCGAGTTGTGACCTCTCAAAAATAGTCCCCCCTCCTCGCACGCCCTATCCAAGTCCCTCTCGGACTCCAGAAGAGCTCCGCAATGGGGGTCGTTGTACTATCCAAATCCCCCCACCACGGAGCCAGACGCCTCCATTCTAGACCCGGTGTCATCACCATGGGTCTCCCTCCCTTCTTTCCCTGCCCGTCGTTCGTTGACGACGGGGCGGAGGCCGGGACAATACCCCCCTCCCCGCCGGGCCCTGACATATCCGACACCTGCCTGGGGCCGGTAGCGGTTTTTTTTTTTCCGCCCCATTCATGTTTTTTGTTGGTTTTTTGACTTGGTGGCCTTCCAAGGATGGCGGGCCGAAGCCTTTTGGCCCACCAGGCCCATCCATCCACACACACATAACACGCACACATTCACCCAATGTCGGGAACCAACCAGATCTCAACCCACAGCCCGTTCGGCATGGGAGGCCCTGCGGGGACCGGGGTCCCCGCCGACATGGCCTGTGGGATCATTGATCCAGCGTTCCCGACATAAACACACATACCAGCTCGGAACCCTCGGGTGCGCGAAACCCGTACCCTGCAGAGGGGGCACATGACCCCCCCTGCAGAGTCCCTGGGGTGCCCTCCATGACCGGAGGGCCGGCGTACCTCTCTACAAGAGGTACTGATCGCTCTTGGCACCCCTCGCAAGGTTAATCCCTTGCGAAGGGTGAGCCCCCCCACCACGACAAGGTGGCGATCAACGGGGGGGCTGGTCCAACTTCTTGAGGGCCATCTCCGAGAGACAGCTTCTCTCCCTCGGCGGCGCTCAATCACTTCACGGGGAAGGCACCGACGGAGAACTCTATGTATCTATGATCAGAAATAGTTTCCGTCTCCGCCAGTACCCCCCAACCGCTCACCAACCTTGAGGCAGAGGGAGTGACCCATGTCAGGTCTACGATTGACTCCCCCTGCCTCCTAACACATGTGGCCTTCCTCCCCCTATTACAGGGGAGAAGACCACCTCGCGCCGCCTAGTCTAGAACTTGTCCACCCTGCCAGTCGTCGCGTGGGGACCCCCAAGCACCTGACTTGGCGTTGAAGTCCCCCCGACGACTATTGGGGCGGAGTGATATTCCGCCAGCTGTCTCTCTATGGCGTGTAGTCTCCCGCAAAAGTCCCCTCTACTGAGACTCGGCGGAAGGTACACGCCAATGACGATGATGGACCCCCATCTGACCGTGACCGTACCCTCTCCCGATTTTAAAGGTTCCATTGGGGGAGAGTTTGACGCTCCTCTGTGGGTGATCGCAGCCAAGCCGTCCGTACTGCTCGCCCCGTTGTTGTCTGGAACACGGTGCGGCTCAGCTACGATCCCCAGGCCGCAGTCTCTCTCCGCCATATTTTGGACGAAGAGATCCTGGGCCGGCCCTGAGTGATTTAGGTTTGCTTGTAGTACTTTACAAGCCATTTCTTTCTTTTTTCTTCTCCGTAGGTCCTACCTCCATAGCGGCAGGATCTCCCTCATTTAGTTTTAGTTGGAGGCGCGTCTTTTTGGCGCCTCCTTCTGGAAATTTCTCCTCCTCTCTCTTCTCCCCCTTGTGCGTGGAGGCCTTTGGTCTTTTGGGGCCTCTACTATATTGTTAAAATCAATAAAGGGGGGAGCTTCTTGGGAGGGGGGATAGTTTATCACTCTATTAAGTGAGACTCCTCTCTTTCCCTTTTGCATCGGCATGCACGATCTACTTTCCGCTCTGTTTGGTGGGAAGTCCTTTGTCTGCGCATACCGGGCAGTTTACTTCTGCCACGCAGTTTTTTGGCTGCGTGGCCCTCATTTCCACAGCGGTAACATTTACCGCTACGGCCTCCTTGTTTGGGCACCGCGCGCGCACGTGTCCTCCCTCTAAGCATTTATAACACTGAAGGGATCTGGCATCTAACATTTCGGCGCGCACCAGTGCCCAACCTATCTGTATTTTGGCCGTGCCCATTATACTATTTGCTGCTTTCAGCGGGCAACGGATCCAGACAATTCCCATTCCACCTGGGGTTTTCCTTATCTCCCCCAGATGGATCTCCTCTTCCTCGCAATTCCCTACTGTGGCTATTGCTTTAATTACTTCGGAGGCTCTGATGGACTTATCGAGCCCCCGAAGTCTCATCTCTGCCATCTTGATTGGGCGTTGGACTTTGACGCCCGTTTTGCCTTTCAAGGCCTCCCTCATTCCGAGGGCAAATCTATCCGCCTTCTCATGTCCATTTGCCCCCGATATCTCAAAATGTACGATCCCGTTGCTCCTCTTTTGATCGTTGCGCCTTCCATATTAAGGCCATGCGCCTCCATCTTTTGCCGTGCCTGCCGGAGGTTTTTCTCATACGTTCCGGGAGGGCACGTCAGTGTAATTGCTGCCGTTCTGGGTTCCCTCCTTTTCTTCTTCTTTTTAGCTGGCTCTTGGCCAGTCATTTTTGTGTGGGGAGAGTTTATGTTTGTAGTTGCGCTCACTCTGTCTCCCTTTATCCTCGTATTTGCAGCCACAGTCTCTTTCACAGCTGCTGTTACTGCTCTCGCTTTTTTCTCTCTCTTCTGGAGACTACTTCACTCCAGGAAGCGGCGACCCTCTCGTTTAAGGATTTTGAGACTTGTCTTTATGGCGCTCCTCCTTTCTTCCCTGCACCTTGAGGTATCAACTTTATTCCGGGTTGCTGTTGTAAGGGTAAAACTGTTGTATTACTCTTTACCGCCTCCTTTGATTTGAGTCCGGAGATTCTTGCTGTTGCCGGGCGCGAGGACGGATTTAACGTAGTGGCGGGCCTTATTCTAACCGCCTTTCTTACGACCTCCACTCCCTTGACTATCGGCTTGGCAGCTGTTCTCTTCTCCTGTGCCGGATTTTCTAATCTGGTTGTTCCCACCTTTGCCCTTTTTTGTGATTTGGGCTGTTGCTGTTGTTGTTGCTGCTCCTTGACTCCTTTTTTGGCTCTGAGGGTTTCGCCATATGTGGGTACTGGGCATCCCAGTCTTTTGTCGAGCTCCTTCACTACTACACCTTCGATCATAGCCACCATGGCCATGAATTTCTCTTTCTCTCTGACTTCCTCTTCTTCTCTTTTATCTTGTGAAATAATGTATTCCGCATTTCCTCTTTTGACGTACATTGTTCCGCGCGTCTTGGGGGAAGTCTTTCCCCTCTCCATTTCAGTAAAGTAGGATTTTTCTTATATTGGAGGATGGTGGGTATTCCTCGTCTTCATCATTCACTTCCATCCTTTCCACGTTTTGATCCTTTCCTTCCTTCCTTTTCAATCCTGAGGTGCGCGAGGTCTCCCCATCGTATGGTGGGGGTGAGACCCCCCGCATCTCGATATCTTTGATCAGGGAGGCTTCCCCGCCTACGGGTGGAAGTGAGGTTTCCCTGATTATTTCTTCTCCTTGGGTTGATGGGACCCCCCCCCCCCCCGCTTTTGAGTGGAAGCGGGGCCCCATCAATCCGTTTTCTTGCCCTGATCCTTATTCCTTCTCTATTTGCGTTATGCGGTCCTTCTCTTTCATCATCATCTGATGTGTCCGAATTGAACTTTGGACGAATTTTCTTTCTATTGGCCCGTTCCAGTTCCCTCTCCAGTTGCTGCTTTTCCAGCATTAACTGATGTACTTGATGGCGTAGTTCCTTTAGTTGTCTCTCTACTGAAGCCTTTGTCGGGTTCTGAACCCTTAGAGCTAACGTTGTTGCAGCCGCACACGTGTCTGCAGCTGCATCTTTGGCTTGCCTAGTCAGTGAGCCTTTCATTTTCCTGCACGCAACGCTACTTTATAAATTGCCGTTGCTTTCTCTGAGGTGATTGTTTCCAGGTCAGGGATTGTCATCTTATAATATTCCTCTCCTTTTTCCCTTATCCTCTTGAGGAAGTCATGATATGACTTCCCTGGGTGAGGTTCTTGTAAAGGGTCCAAGATCTGTTCCAGGCGCGCTTCCTGCTCTTCTTGTTTCGCAATTTTTGCAGCCTTTACTTTTTCGAAATCACCGGTGGTTATTGGCCGGCTTTTTCTTTTGGGTGCAGATACCGGTGGTAGAGCCTGTTCCTCTTCTGTTTCGCTAATACCCTCTTGTTCCTGTACCGGTATATTTGTCTTGGTACAAAGAGCAGGGAATTCTTTCTCGTCGAGAATGTTTTTTGCTGTAGGCCTTTCTGTGTTGCCTTCCCCTTCATTTGGTAGGTTGTCTGTATCCTCAGTGTCCGTTCCTATTACTGATTCCACCATCCTCCTCCTTTGGGCGAGTGCGCTGGTTCTCGCCTTTTCTCGTTCCATTACCATTTTCCGTCTTCTTTGCGCAGAACCGTTTTTGGCTTTTTCCTTGTTCGACGTTCTCGAGAGGGTCGAAGAAAAGCTACTGGTTGAGTCACATTCAGCCAGGTCCACTAAGTCCACTGTAACTGGTCTCAGTAGATTCCTGTGCCAGCGGTACTTCTCTTCTAGAGAAGTACGGGTGTCCTCTTTGCCGTACACCTCCTCCAGTTCCTTTTGCGCGTTAGCTCCATCCGTGTTGTTGTTTTGTATATTGTTAAAATTCTTACTCATTTTGTTTAGTCCCACTGTCCCGCTGCGGCTCCGTCCCCCAGGGTATACCCCCACCGGCCGAGGGATGCCCCGAAACATGACCGGCCACATCCCAGGGCCGGGCTCCAAGTTCCCCCGGGGAGGAGACATATGTCTTAGGCCGGGGGGATACCGCACCCCGGCCAGACTCCGAGCCCCTTACACACCCATGTGGAATTTGACGCCCACACGAGCTTTCAGGGGTCCCGCACCTCCGACCATGCAGGTACCGCAGTGGATGGCCCCACCCGGGGGCCCCACGGACGCTTTGGACAGGGTCGCCGCTCCCCGGCCCTGCCCTACACGTCGTGGCGACCAGCATACCGTGTTGCCCCTCGTCGAAGGCTTTCGAAAGCCTTTGACGAGGGGTGTGCGCCTCTCCGATCGTTCGGTTCGAAAGGGTAAACGGTCCCGACTAACCGGGAGATATCTTTTCTCACCGCCGGGCCCCGCCTCGGAAACGTCCAAGCGGCCCCAGCAGTAGGCGGCCGCAGCACCTTTTTTTTTTTTGACGCTGGGGAAACCGTCATGGTACCGCACACCCCCGGGTAGGGGTGCGGGTTATGTGGGACTCCTTGTTCCCCTTGATCGAGCTACGAATAGTTCGACCAGGGGGCCCAAGACCTACCTCACTAAAACCCCAGCGGGTGTCCTGCTCGGGCGTTGGATAGGGAACGGCGAGGATGCTGGATTCCATGCCGTCTCGCCGCCCTCCCGCCAAGCCGTCTCCGGGAGCTGCCTCGACCTTGCGGCCGAGACCCCTCCCCGACCGCACAGTCAGTGACTGTGCGGTTTCCTCGCGGTTGCGGCGCAGGGCGAACACCGGCCCTACGCCGCGCCCTCTCAAAGAGGGGGTTGGGGGGCGGGGCCATGGCTCCAGAGTGGTGCTCCCTCCCCCTTTCAGAGGGAATGGGGATTCGGCATTCACCCTAAAGGCCCTCACCAGGGAAACCCTTCCCTGAAGGGGAAGGGGCCCTCTACGGCGTTGATGTCCTGCCACCGGTGCCTCATGGCTCCCGGTGACAGAGCCCTCCCGCCGCATCTTCGTCCATGAGGGGAAAGGTCGCACCCCACAAGGCCGGCAGAGCCCGACCCCGCAGACGAGCGACCCCTCCCCTCGGTCCCCCCGGTTGCGGCTCCCACCGTTCCCTTAGGAGTTGGGATTCGGCCACAACCGAGGGGATTTCCCTTCCGGGCGCGCAACCACACCCCCTGTAGGGGTGATGCGTCTGCGCGCCCGGCTCTCGTGAGGCTCTCGGGGGGGGGGGAATTCTGGGGACTTATTTGTCCCCAGCCCCACCCCGGGAACCTCATCCTGCGTCAAAATTTGACGCAGGTGTGTTGGGGGCGGGCCCCCCCCCAACCGCACCGCCACAAATGAGCGAGCTCGCCGACGGCGCGGAAAGGGAGGACCCGGTCCTGCTCTTCACGTTTGCTCTCCTTTTCTTTCGGAGGTTGTACCCCCCCTCCCCCGGCAAGCCCGTCGATGGCGTGGGATGGGGAGGGGGCACACCTCCTCCCTCCGTATTTCCTTCTTTTCTTCTTCTTCTTCTGGGGGCGCCCCCCCCCCCCGATCCCCGACACCAAGAACGGGCAAGCCCGCCGATGCCGGGGAAAGAGGAGGCACGTCCCTTCCCTCCATCTCTCCCTCTCTCTCTCTCTCCCTTTCAGCCTCCTCCTTCTGCAGCATAACCTTGCTGCAGAAGGAAGAGAACGCCTTCCAAGATTCTTCATTATCTGTCATTGCCCTTACTATCGAGGGCAATGACAGATCCATCCCCACCGCGGCCACGAGCTCCGCTCTTTCACCCGCCCAGGCAACACACTTGGCGAGTGTGTGCTGGGCGGTATCACGCTCGTGGCCGCAGTGATGGCACCGCGTTGTGCGCTCCTTCCCAATCCTGTGCAGGTACTCACCGAAACAACCATGTCCGGTGAGCACCTGCGTCGTGTGGAAGGACACCCCTCCTTTGGCCCTGTCTAGCCAATTTTCCAGACAGGGCCGTATAGCCCCAACGGTACGCTGTCCTGGCAGCTTTGGATCAGCGAGGCTGTCCCTCCATTTCTGGATCAGCGCCCGTCGGGAGTGGACCCTCACTGCCCGCCGGAGACCATCCGTTACTGTGACGCCCGCCCGCTGATATTCGCGTGTACGCGTGTACACATCTACGTACATGCGGGCGAGCATCTCCACGGGGGGCACTCCGGAGAGTACCCCCACGGCTACCCAGCTCACTGTACGGTAGCCCCGGCATATCCTATTGGCCACCCGCCTCTGCAGCTGCCTTATGGCATCTTTTGGGCCGCGGGTGGCCTCCAGGCATTTTACCCATACCGGGCTCCGTAAAGGAGCATGGCATGGATGGTTCCGGCGTACAATTTTCGGACACTCCCGCCAGGCCCCCAAGGTTGGGCAGCAGGCGCTGCAGCGCCATTGCTGTCTTCTCCACCTTAGGGGATATACGGCGGAAGTGCTCCCGAAAGGTCCACTTACTGTCGAGGTGGAGGCCCAGGTACTTTAGACAGGCCCCCACCTCTATCGAGGTGTCCTCCACACTGATGTGGGCTTGTGGT